CTGGTCACAGGTGCTGGCGAAACGTTAGGAAACAAAATCTCCAGAGCACGGCCACACAGCCCGGAAGACCCACACCAGCCACCTTAATCAGATTAATTTACAGCAAATACAACCTTAAAACACGATCCAGTCCTGGTCAGAAAAAAATCCATTTAAAATTTCCAGAAATAACAACCTATTTATTTTAACGGTCAAATAAACCAACTTTATATTCTTTCCCCTTGCTCCCAACAATCTTAATCATTAGTCCCTTCAAGTAATGTCCAAACACTTAGTTTCTTTTCATTTTCTCTTTGTCTCTTTTCACAAAATCACTGACAAGATTAACAAATCCCTTTTGTAAATCCAATATAGGAAGGTTATCTAAGACACTTCTGGTTTATTATCTGTCCTTTTTAGTTATCAAAACAGCCAGTTTCGTTTGTATATTCAATATTTCATCTTTTTCCACATCCTCCTTGTACCCTGTCATTTTTAAGTCCACATTTAAATCAATTTCAGTCTTGTCCAGTAAGACTTGTTCCTCTTCCATAGCATCATTTAGTCTATTGATAATGGCAGAGATCTTTAAAACTAACTTCTGAGTCCATTGTTCACAAATATTTCTCAATGCCTCCATTAAAAGGTTTTGCTCCATTCTGATTATCAGATCAAGTTTAAGTATTCTTCCCCTTTAATTATAATCTTTATTTTCTTCTGGTGCCCTCTAGTGTCCAACCTTCAAAGTCCCATCTTATGTTTTTCTTCCGAATACAAAAACATGGATAGTTTCCCATGGGAAGGATTCTTATATTTAATTTCAGAATGTTATTAAATCCATCTGGACCCTTAGTCCATTTAAAACTTTCTAAAATCAACACTCTAATCTCCCTTTTGCTATTAATTAAAAAAAATTAAATCCTTAAACTCCTACTTAAAATTTCCTTTGTAAAGGATAGAAGGAAACTCACCCAGTGAATACCATGAACCTTGCTGTTCTGGAGGTTCTCCATATTTAAAAAAGCAATAAAATATTAATTCCAAAGTGATTAAGAAATGAGGATTGGCTGATCCTTATGTCCTTAAAGGCTACGTTATGCCTATGAGCTTGAATGGAATCCCCAACTCCCAGCCACTCAACTCACAAGCAGATCGCAAAAATGCCTGTTCCTGCCTCCTACTCACAAGGAGCCACTCTCCAGAGTAAATGTGGGCAATCTCACGATCTCTCCTTTATCCGGAGAGTTTTCACCAGCCCAGATCCCACATCCAGCTGGCAATTTCATCCCTGCTTCTTCAGGGACATTTTCAGTTCACTATGTCCTCACCAGAAGTCCCTCTCTGAGCTTGGTTTTCACCTCACAGACATCTTGTTGCCATCATCTGGTAATCATCTGCCAATCATCATCTGCCAATCATCAGGTAAATCATCTGCATGTTAATATGAAGTGAGGTTTGGTGGCTATAACAGTTGTCCTGTTCGCCTTGGCTTGTATAGATATTGTTTCTTCTTGATTATTCTTGCTTTTCTAATGCTAGTTCCTCTTATCTGGGTATTGTTTAATGGGCATATGATAAGGGAAAAGGTGCTCAGGGCACCTGAAATTGTGATGCTAAACTTCAGCAGTACAATGGCCAGTATTCAGCAGTGTGATTTCAGCTACTGAATATAAACAACACCTTCCAAGCATTCCCTGTAGTTAAGAGAGTTTTTATTCTCATTTTTGGATTTATTCCTCCCCCCTTTTTTTTCCTTGCA